CTTATTTGCTTCCATTACAAATTAGTTTAAGAAGGTAAGAAAGATCTGTGACTCCCTGAGGGAAACCTGATGAGGAGGGGCTGAGGCCACTTGGTTTGTTCAGCCAGGAGACTGAGGAGAGACCTCACTGCAGTTACAACTTCCTCATGAGGAGAAGAGGAGGTGCAGGCACTGATCTCTTCTCTGTGGTGACAGTGACAGAACCTGAGGAAATGGCCTGAAGTTGTGTCAGGGGAGCCATAGATTAGATATCAGGAAAAGGTTTTTTTCCTGCTATCTAATCTATATTTAGGGTGTTTGGGCACAGGAACAGCTCCCCAGGGCAGTGGTCGCAGCACCAAGCCTGACAGAGCTCAAGAAGTGTTTGGACAATGCTCTCAGGCACAGGGTGTGACTCTTGTGATGGTCCTATGAGGGCTGGGAACCAGACTTGATGATCTTTGTGGTGTCTTCCAACTCAGCATATTCTGTGATTCTATGATTCCTTGCAAAAATGAGGTGATCTCCAGCTGTTTTGCCCTAAGAGGCAGCAGTTACCTGAGGGAAGGAGCCCAGTCAGTTGGAACTGTGGATATTACCCCATCCAGGGCAGCAGCTGTTTTCTTTCTGCTCTGTGTTGATGAAGGTGCCGTGTATAGACTTTGATTCTGAAAGCAGGGAAACTGTGAAGCCAGGAGAGCAATTACCAGTGCTGGGAGGGAGGTCTGGAAAATGGGGGGGAAGTCCCACAAACCAGCCAGGATTTGGTGTCTTTGAACCATCCAAATCAAACACAGACTTTATGAGAATTTCCAAGTCACCAGTGGAAACTCAGGGTCTGGAACTGATATTTTTGACACCTACTATAGTTCAACACTGCTTATTGTGATGGCTGCATATAGAAAGTGTTTTTATAGGATGCCATAGTGGTAGTGCAGAAGGAGATGGAAAGCTGGAATTAAGCAGTGCTTTCTCTGAATTACTAGATTTGTGATCTCCACAGATCAGGTACAAGGAGAGAAATTTAGTGCCACGAGCGAGTGCAGGAGCACAACTCACTGGGTCTGCCTCTTGGGATATCAGAGTTTCAAGACTGGGAAACACTTGGATTGGGCTTTACTTGGGGGTCAGCTTTTGACTGCAATGAAACTCCTTTCTCATGTTTTAGCAAGAAACTGCCATAACTGCTAACAACTTTCTCCATGAACAATTCTGTGCTGTACCACTCTTTGGTGGGTGAATGTTTGACTGAAAATTTGCTGTAGCACTGAAATTTGACTTTTTTGGGCCACACAGTAATTTATAGCTACGAGGCTTGGAAGACTCTTCTGACTTACAATAGTTGCACGTTGGGGTAGTCCAGAGGGAGCTTTCCACAGGAAGTGCAGCCTGGAAACTGGCTGATGCCTCTGCATACCATCCTGATGAAACCACCATGGCAGCAGGAATGTTTAAGACCCCAAGAATGACATATCCCTTCAGAGGCTGTCAGGGGAGGGATGGAAAAAGAACCAAATAATATTTATTTTTCACCTTCTTTCTTTGCCATCTGTTTTTAGATGAAAAATAGCATATGGAACTATAATCCTGGTTAAATAATAAACACTGCTCACGCTTTTGATCAAAATGTAACTGAATACTATTTCCTTAGGTTTACCAGGTGAGAAAGGAGAGAAAGGCAATCCAGGTGTTGGAACACAAGGACCCCGAGGCCCACCAGGATCCACAGGTAAATTTACATTTGAGGCATCTGGATTAGACCATTCTGACCCATGTGTGAGGAAGCTTACAACAGCTCTGTCTCCTTAAGGAGAGTAGCAGAAGAGTAGCAGTTCAGGCACCCTAACTGCCATAATGTTCTTACTATGTAATATCATGTTGGGATGTGCCACATGATGGTGTCACCCATCACACAAGTATTTTCATTTTCCCTATGATAAACTGCTTCCCCAAGCCCACCGTTTTAAAATGTTTCATGTATTTTTTTTTCCAGACACGGGTTCTAGAAGGGGAAAAAATTAATCTGGACTAATTACATTTGTTTCTCATTGACTAAATGTCATACCTAAATGTGAGTTGACAGAGAAATGTATAGTAATTAAGCACATTATAATCACATGAATTTATATTTAGGTCCTGAAAAAGCAGAGAGAGTGATAACCGGGTCCTGTTGAAACAGGAATAAAATTGCATTGCCCTCAGGAGGATATCCTGGCTGTTAGGCACTGGTATCGAGTCACAGCATTACCCAGAATCTGTATTGAAAGGGAGTGGGTAGAATCAAGAGCTATGCAGGCATCCAGGGCTGTCCTTTCCCCATGTAAATCCCTTTCCAGAAGTCTGATGTTTGGTGAAACATTTGCTCCAGTTCTGCCTAGAAGCTGTCTCTGGCGAGGAAAATGAAGCAGCAGCCAGAGAGGAAGCTCATTGGAAGTGGGTCTCCTCTCAGGCTGCTGCTCTGTCTTCCCTGCCAAAGGCTGAAGTCTTCCCTCAGCTTGCCCAGGGGAGCCAGAGCCAGGATGCCTCGCTCCTCCTCTCAAGCTGTCTCCTGGAAGTGTTTATAACACACTCAGTGCCATGTTTTCCAGGCCAGGAAAGATGGCCTCATATCCCTGCTTTCATCAACGACACTACGCAGATGTTTCATCTCCCTGTTCTATGCAGGACCTCCAGGAGAAAGTCGGACTGGCAGCCCGGGACCACCAGGATCTCCAGGCCCACGAGGTCCTGCTGGTCACACGGGGTCCCCGGGCTCAGCGGGTCCTGCTGGGCCTCCAGGGTACTGTGACCCATCCTCCTGCGCTGGCTACGGCATGGGAGGTGAGTAGTGAGGAGTTGGGACAGCTGCCCTTTGCAGAGGTGTGGGTGGCACTTTCTAACAGCCCAAGTGAGATGGAGGCTACCAATGAAACTTGCACTAAAATGTGGTGGCTCCCTAAAAACTTGCGTGTCCAGTGTGGCTCTACTTTGTGGGACTGCAGCATGAAGAGAAGGTGACCCAGCATAGCGACCAAAGGAAGTGACCTCCGACTGCTCCCAGCCTGTAAAACTGATCCTGCCTAGTGGGTTTTGTCCTGTACGTGTTTGTGTAGCTGTATGAGCCTGCTCCATCTCCATATTCTGTGTTGAAGCCCTACCAACTCATGTTTGTGACAGCAGAGTTTTTACACTTGTAGTTTTTCAAACGTGTTGCTCAACCTCCCCTTCCATGTGCCTCTGAGTGGCATGAAAGCATGATCCTTACTAAACCTGTAGTAGTGTAACCTGGCACAGGGATGCACGTGTCCATCATTAACCAGTGAAGCCATCTGGAGAAAATGATTCCTTCTATATCTTCTCTGTATCCTACTTTCCCATCTTGTTATAGCACGGAGAGGCCATGGGAAGAAGTTAACACAATTACCAAAACTTAAATCACCCAACCTAAAATCAAAATTAATTAGTAGAGTGCTAAACTACAAATGTTATGCATAAGGCATATTTGTTTGATGTTTACAATTTAATCTGCCCCTGAGCTGATTTGTATGTTTTACTTACCTGAATGTTTTTGTTGTCGTCTCTTCCTATCCTTTTCTCCTCACTTCCCCTCCCTGTTGTTCATTTCCTGTTTTAAGGCCCAATCCCTTACAATGGCTACGAATCCAGAAGGTGAAAGGCTCATTCTGGTTCAGGTCTCATTGGGCTGAAGGTCAGAGATGGATGCTGAACTGCTCTGTGCTTTCCAGCAACGATAATGACTACCACTAATGAACTTACAGCTGCTGTACATGCACTTGGCTTCCTGGCACTGCTAAAAAATTATTGCCTGACCCATTTTTGCCTGCTGCTCATGTATTCTAGCTCATAATTGGAATAAGCTATAGCAGGCAGAGTGTGCAGTGTATAATGAGCACAGTATTACAATCGGACATTTGACAAATTGTGGTGGTGGTTTCCAACTAACTTGGCTGTCTGTTGGTGGGTTTCCAATTGCTCCAGCTTATTAATTTTGTTAAATGTTTTCATTGTTCCTTTATGTGAATAAAAGATGTGTATTTAAAGATATATATATATACTCACACACATGATATAGAAATATATCTATATATAAAATGTCAATTTCCTAATGAATGCTTTAATTTTCTACTCCCCTTCTCCTGTGTTAACCGTATGAATACTCTTGGTGGTGGTGGGTTAAGGTGGATACGGTGAGCCAACTGATCAAGACATCCCAGTAGTGCAGTTGCCACATAACTCCTACCAAATCTATGACCCTGAGGACCTTTATGATGGTGAGCAACAGCCGTACGTAGTTCACGGGTCCTACCCCTTACCATCCCCATACGCCCAGTCCTATCCATCACCTCATCTTGCTCAACCAGAGTTTACTCCTGTCCAAGAAGAGATGGAAGCCGTTGAGCTGAGGTCCCCGGGAATCAGTCGCTTCGCAAGGAGGATAGCCAAAAGGAGTGCCAGGACCCCAGAACGCACAAAGGCCAACGGAAAAAGCCCCTCTCAATGAACTGGTTAAAAAAGGGAAACATTTTATGCACACCTGTGTTTGGCCTTTTGCCCTGGTGCCTCACCTCTCACTGAAGATGTTTACAGGCTCTAATGTTAAAGGAGAAAAAAGTGTACATGGCCAGTTGACACAACAAATAATGGTAATTATCTTGCATGCCAGAAGTTTAGTATGTTAGTGGGTTGGTGCTAGCTGATGATGAAAGGTCACTTGTAGATCTTTCTCTGGAGTACTGTTCTGTTCACTCTTCAAACTGTAGCTGAAAAATTCATCTGGCTAGGTGGTGTATGTAGAACCGTTCACAAAAGTTCATGTTTTGTTATCCATTTTTTCCCAGTTGATTACTTTCTCTTTGTTTTGGATTAATTGCTTTACTAGCAGAGTAACCTGACTAAATCCACTGGAGAACAATGCATCAGGTGTCCTTGCACCCCAGTTATCATCCTTTTGTAAAGATTTCTTACATTAACAGACCACTGTTTTCTTAACTCACCTAAAATAAATACACAAGAATGTTCCATGAGAGTACACTGATAATTTATTGTGAACCTCTTTCATTTCTGTTTTGTATGCAAATAAAAGTGGCAAGCTTTTGTATGGTAATTCTGTATTCATTTGACTTTTAACTCAAAACAATTGCATTAGATCTTCAGGGGACAGAATGTAGTGAGAAGGAAATACATTTCCTGTTTTCAATACTTTGGGGCAATAGTTTTATTTTAAAGGATGTAGTAAAAACATTATTTAGCCTTATTTTTTAAATAGTATATGGACAAATGAAGACAGTAACTGAGCTGAGGTAGTTGTACCAAGTGCAGATGTGAGATTCCTCATGTCAACATTCCCAACTCAAAAGACTGGGAGGTGTAGTTGGGATGGCAACTTGGATCAGCTAATGAGGAGAGGAAGGCAAAACACCAACCCAACCACTTGAGCACAGAGCAATTAATCATCTACAAACAAAGTAAGTTAGAAAGAGACTCAATAAACACCTTTGAACAACACTGGAGACTGAGCAAGATTTAGCTCAAGAATGGCCATTTATGACAGCATAGGTTTGGAAGACTTGTTCTTCAGCCCTGTACAGACATGAAGAGGCAGTTCTGTACATCTCAGGACCATCCTCCTGCTCATCCCTGACTGGAAGCAGATCTAGTCATATTTTACAGTAAAGAAAGCCTGTCAGGTTTGGCCTCTGACCACTGCCAGCAGCTCCCTTAGCTCATCAGGAAGAAGATGAGTGGGTCCCTTTACTGTGTTATCTCCAATTATCTCACCTAGAATTCAGCCTCATTAGTAGCATACATGATTTGCACATGTGACTAGCAGGCTCTGGCTGGGGGCTGGATACCCTCCTAGGTTCTTTCTCTTTTCCCATTACTTCTATCACCTGACTCCACCCATTTTCTTGGGGGAAGGTGATAAAAGTTGATAGAATGTGAGTTGATTGTCATTTCGTTACCTGCACTTGCATTTAAAATAGAAGGTAGACAAGTATAATGTAGTTTATGGACTTTATTTTTTAGCAGCTTAACCCCACTTGACAGAACACTGAGGCTCCACATGAGAATGGCTCTCTTGGCCACAAGCAGGTACCACGGCCTGGCACATGCAACTGATACTCAGAAGTATTATTAAAACTAAATACTATAACGCCTGGGGTCACAGGGTTAATTTTAATTTCCATGCTGCCCTACTGGCTGTCAACACCCATGTTAATTTACCCCAAGTGCAAACTCCCTCTGCCCCTCCCTGGTCAGCTCACTCAGATTGATGTTCTACTGACACAGCTCAGAGTTCTGCTTGAGATATGCTGACCTGCAGGTCCCATGGAAGTGACTGGGAAGGTCACTGATGGAAAAGATCAGCTTTTCTTTCAAGCAATTCTGCCCATTTTGTCCGTGGAAGACTTTGAGTCTCCTGCTAACAGTGCACAATACATAAGTCATGACTGGCTGGCAACACTATATCCAAATCTCAGGTTCTTTTGGGACCACAGAGAATGACAGGGCAACACCAGGGACGTAGGGACACAGCATAATCAAACTGACAAAAATAAGGCAATTGGTGTTATCTATTCCATGGAACAGCCTGACCAAATCCCTGAGGGTGCTTGTGGTGAGCAGTTGACATCAGCTGTGGGGTGCCAGTCCAACAGCTCCCACCCCAGTGTCCTCGGCTGGGGAGCAGCTGGAAGCAGCACAGCACCCCCAGCTCACAGGAATTTGGGTGCTCTGGGCCTGAGGGATCCCCTGTGTTGGACACCTGCACTGTCACTGCCACCTCCTCCTCACACCACACGATGTACATGGAGTGACCTAAACAAATGACTTGGGGAAAATAAAGTGGCCATACTCATTCAAATTTTGTAACAATTTATATACTAAAGCACAAGCTTCAATTGCAGCACTTAATTTATTTTAACCTTTTATTTACTGTGCCATTTACTGGCACCATGCTGACCAGAATGTTTCTGGTATCATTAATCGTACACAGTCATTTGCTGGACCTATCTTGGTAATAAAGAGTAACTAACTAGTTACTCTCTGCTCAACCCAATTATAAAAATACTATTCAGGAATTGTATGCTTTCCAAAAGAAGTAAGACCCATTCTGTCAGGATTTTCTCCAAAATCCAGTCTCTGAATAATCAGGAGTGTCTCCTATTTTTTCCAGACCACCTAAGAAAGTGAAGCTGCTGACTGAAGGATTCAGCACATGCTGAACAGTTGATGCCACACAGATCTTACCAATAAACTGTGTACTGTGTCCTTTCACAGAAAAGAGCATTTACTGCAACCCAGGCCTTTCAAAAATACTTTCACTGGTTAATGCAGTGAACTAACTAACTTGGAAGTGAAGGCTGCACATCCACTAGGTGGGAATTTTTTCTGGGATAAGCCCATTTGAATGTCAAAGAAAGGCCCATATACCAAACCATTATTTCATGTAATGAAATATGGTTATAAATAAACAACTGGTTTTCTTCCTGTATGATGCTAGTATGAAACAGATGTAGAACACTCAAATTCTCCTCACTAGACATTGTAAAATTTGGCACATAATGTACCAGCATTTCCTACTACACAGAAAACAACAGGTGCTTTACTTACCTACAGAACAGCTTTGGCTTGAGGGCTTTCAGAGCAGGAAAGCAGAAAGGAATTTCAGGGAAGTAGCTTGCAAAAGTGAAGTGAATTTTAAGACTTTTTTTGCATCATTCAACACTTAAGTTTGGTTTCCTCATTTAGTTTCTATAATAAAAATGCTTCTCTGTTCTGCAATATGTTCCTTAAAGTAGGTAAGGAATGTTCCTGTGACTTGAATGAAAATTGAGGCTGAAGGGGAGAAAAAAGATAAAGTATCTCTCTGTTGATCTGCCTTTAATACCTGTTATTTCAACAAGCTCTTTAAGGAAATCTGTTCTACACTGGGTTGTAGGCAGTGAGCTACTTCATTGCAGTCCTCAATGCATTGTTTCTATGAGATGCAAGTACTCATTACAAAGGTATTAATTCTTTAATAACAGTATCAAATCAAATGTCATGAAAAAATACCAGATCATACAATGCAAAGTACAGATAGCATTGACAAGATAATACCTAATCTTAGCTGTTTCAAATACAGTGATTTCTATAATCTTACCTAGTCAAATTTGCTAACAGCTGTCAGAAACACTCAGTATAGAAGGCCTGACTGAGCCACACAGATACTTCCATATTAGAAGAACTTTCTCTGAAGGAGGAGAGACACTCCTGATGGCAGTTCTTTCATTCTTATTACTTCTTTCGAAAATCTTTAGGTCTGTGGGGAAAAAAAAAAAGTATTTTAAGAAATGCATGTTCACTGCAGTGGTTTTGCTTTAAGGCTGTAGCAGCAGCCTCATGTAGTTTTATTTCCTTACTCTGGTGAAGTTTTTTTTGACAAAGAAGAATATTTTCTGGATTACACAAACAAGACAAAACAAATTAAAGAAATTTAATAAGATCTCTAAGAATTTACAGACATCAGGACTAGTTGGTCACTCCTACTTTCCTAAGCAAAACAAAAAACCATCTTGAACTGAATGCAGTCTCACAGGGCTTTAAACACAGACACTGATTTGGCTCCACTTTTAACAACTGAATAATCCATGCATAAGATGGCAAGTTTTATTGAACAGCACAGTCCAACACAACACTACTAAAACAGTTAAAACCAATGATTTAAAAAAAACCCCTAACTTGAATCTCAGGAGCTCTGCAATCCCCTTTGCTTGGATGACAGATGTGGAAAACATTCAGATAGAAGCAGACTGTTGTTTGCAACCCTCTGTGATCTCCTATTCAGGCACATCTCCTTCCCTGCCTGCCTGCCACACATCCACAGGCTGCAGGAACCACATTCTGCCTGAAACTGCTCAGCTCAGAGCAGCTTATGGCTTTCAGAATGCTGAGTTTGCAGACTGGATGCACATCTACATCCCCACCATGTCCTGCAGAGAAGCTGCACATCCTGGACTCTGCCCAGTCACTCCCAAACCCCCAGTGCAGGTCAATGTCCCTGAAGTGCCCAGATCATGCCTGGTGCCACCCAATGCAGGTCAGGGGAGCTGCCCAGGACATGCCTGGTGTCACCCAGTGCAGGTCAGGGTCCCTGAGGTGCCCAGGACACACCCGGCCCCATCTCACACACAAATGCAGCCTGCAGGAACACAATGCTCCTCACTGCTCCTCTCATCTGAGAATCTAAGCAGCTTGGGGAACTCACAGGACTCAACAAGACAAGTATTAACACAGGTTTTAGAGACATCTAAAGGAATACAGGGCCAGATTTGCCATAAAGTTGAATGAAGAATTCTGGCATACAGGAAAACTTGCAAACCACTACAGTAACCAAGTTAAATTTCCAAAGGTGGTACATTTTTATCTGTAATTCAGCTCAATAATGGAAATGAAAAGCAGACAGCAATGGAAGCAGACAGCTTAAAGACTGAGAGTTCAGATGGCTGCAGAAATGCCACAAAGAAATCCAATACTTGTTTAGTCCTATGTTGCAGTTTCAGATTTTGCCAAGCAATAGTACTGCAAAGTGAAATCATCCACTCAACTCTTGTATGAGCCCATAGGTTCTCACATGAAGCAAGTCTGGAATTCAGTTTGTGTTATTTCAAGAGTAGCATATAAAATTGTGTGAATTTTACAGGACAGCTATAAAGAAGAGCTAGTGTTCATGTTGGGATGAATCACAAAGCTGCTCTGTTCCCCATTGAAATAGCATATTGTGTATTAGGATTTGGACTTGTATCTTTTGTGCATGACAGAACTGCTGCAAGCACCATATATGCTGTTTACATATTTGCTTAATGTTGAACTTGAATGTACTCAATGTTTGATGGTTGGTGTGTGCTGGGAAGTCAAGGCACATTTCCTAGAATCCCAGACTTCAGTACTTGGAGATATGCATAGAATCAGAGAATGGTTTGGGTCAGAAGGGACCTTAAACATCCTCTGGCTCCAGCCTCTCTGCCAGTCCACATTTTGTTACTCAGATCTCACCCTGCATGCCAGAATAGGTATTTCATTATGTCAAACTGTTTGTAGAGTAGTAAGAGTATGGGATTTTGAAAAATTCTCAGCAGTGACTTAGAAGTTTTATCACTACATCCAACCTAGACAGGTGGACAGTGCTGAAGATTTTAGGCAACACAGCATGGCAAAGACATGCTTGTCTTGCAGCTTATAGTTATTACTCTTTCTTTTTAGAGACCAATCCATTCTCTTGTACACTGCTCAAAGGATTTAGCAGTTTTCTATGAATGGCTCCCTTAAAATTTCCATCTAGGGTTATGCTGGAGAGCTGCAGGTCTCACAGCACTCTGTTCTGGGGTGAAAATCTGTTTTCTTTTCTTGCTTGCTTGTAATCTGCATTTCAACTTTAATGCTCACTGTCTTAAAATTTAAATGCATAAAAATGCATCAAACACTGGACTCTTAGTTTGCAGTCTTATGAAGTTAATGAAGCTTAAAGACAGGATTTTCCACACTGAAACACTTGTGTGAACAAATACAAAAGTTTTTAAAGCCTTTTCTATTGCCACAGTAGGCTTTTTATGCCCACTAGTGCTTGGCTTTTGGACTGCTTTTGAAGAATTCTTGGCACCAGGAAAGCTAAGCCTTGGAAAACACTGCCTTTGGCAAAAGTGTTATAGGCATTTGGTCAGATGAAGAATATGAACCCACAAAAATGCTGTCTACTCAGAGAGAATTATGAACCACTTGTGAGCATCAATGGGTAACTGCTCATTGATAAGTGACACAAATCCATGTGAGAGTCTTCTTCTTTGATGGCAGTGCTTTTGCCTTTCCTCAGCAAAGGCCAGAGTTTATGCTCTTGAAACAAAGGAAATGCTATCTCCTAGAACAGACAGTTCAGAAATTCACCCAAAGGCAAGACTTCACATAGCTGCTTCTCCTCTGATCGTTATTTTTAAAGTAACATTCTTGGGGAAAAAAAGCTTTGCTGTATAGTGACAGGAGACTCCAAGACAAAGGGAAATGGGGGAATGTGGGAACCAATGTCTCTGCAATCTATGCTGAAACACAAACTATTATGGGTTCACGGAAAATATGCAATATTAGTCTGTGCAGCAGATGTCTGCCACCAAAATATGTAAAAAATATTTGTCTCACTAACACTTTTATACTCCACATAAAAAGTGTTAAGACAGTTCTGTGAGTTCTAGGCAAAATACTCAGCAAATTACATCAGTAACCCATTTGTTACAGGAGGCCTCTTGGTGCTTCTCTCTTAACAAATAATTTACCACTGAGTAAGAGGCACTGAAGAGCTGGTCCTAAACTCTGATTACAGCTTTTAAATGTGTTAAAGCTGCCCAGGGAGGTCATGGATGCCCTCTGAAGACACTCAAAACCCACCTGGATGCATTCCTTTGTAACCTGCTCTAGGGGACCTGCCTTGGCAGGAGGGTTGGACTGGATCATCGCCATAGGTCCCTGCCAAACTTCACAATTCTCTGATTCCATAAATTTTCCCAATTTTTATCCATACTCACAGCTATCAGAAGAGAAATACAGCTGATGTAAAATGCTGACTATTCACAGCCACTGAAACTTAGAGAACAGATAAACCTGCACCTTTGTCCAGCTCCTAGGATCAGCCTTTGTGATGGAAAACAAAAGGGTCTTAGTGGTCCCCACTGTAACTGGTAGACAATTCCCCAAACTCTGCAGAATTAATGTATTTCATATAAATGTTGTCTTTTGATAATGATGCCAGCCCTACACTCTGTAGTGTTGAAAAAAACCAATGGACTGTGAGAGTTTTCTCATTCACAGGAAAACAGTAACTTCTTTGCTCTGTACTCCACTTCATGAAATAAGACTGAGGTCAAACTAAACCCTAGAACATGAAGAAGTTCTGCCTTTCTTTATGGACTTTAAAGATGACTTGAAGAGGCTTGTGTCCTTGGGCTAAAACTTGCCATTGTAAATTCTCTCTTCAGTGTCTCTGCAGATTTTGGAGTTACAGTTGTTTTGAAAAGCACTGCAGAGTGTAGTGCTGGCATCTGTGTCATTAATTAATATTGAAATTTGGTGAACATACATGTGCTTCCCTAGCAACTCCAACCAACTCCAGCATACACACACCCCCTTTTATGCAACCTTGCATAAAACAAGGTTGTCTTTAACCTAGGTCAGTTCTCTGATTCTCCATTCTGTTGCCACACAAGCAGAATGCAGAGGCAGGAAAACTGATGGATGATTCTTAAAACCGAGCCCTATTGCCAGAAAAAATGCTCACTAAGCTATGACCTCAGCCTCTGAGCATCTCAGATGGCAAACAGAAACTAACAGCACAAAAAGACCTACTTGCATATCTGCAACTATGATAGGACCCCCCACTTTACAGAATATTCAATCTTTTTTTTTCAGTGTGATGTGAAATATCCTCTTTCAAGGCTATTTTTTCTGTGAGGAAGGACAGGACAGAGACCCTCTGCAATAGTTAAATGTGTTCAACTCTCAACTCCTGGAGTGAATATTTATTTCAATCAATTCTGAATAGACTTGCTGCACAGCTCCATCTTTATTACATTCTTGTCAGCACATTCCAGCAATGATGTTTCCCTTTGCCTAGCAATGCTTTGTGGAGGTAAAACAGCCTCAGAAAAAATAAAATAAAGGGTGTGTGTGTGTTACTCTATGAAGGCCAAATCTAAGTAATCACTAGTCTGTGTAATAGTGCAACTAACTTGATTTCAAAAATATACAGGACAACTTCACCATCTTATTTCTAGGCAAACAAGCTAAAACCTTGTAGCATCTTACAGCAGACAGGTTAGCATTAGTAACCTCAAAGAAATAATAAGGTAAGGCTGCAGAGTTATATATACTGTCTATTCTAGATGTACAGCAGTTATTTTACAATCCAGACAATATTTTTAAAAAAATTCTCTTCATTTTTAATGACTCAGAATACCTCTTCAAAACTATGTATTTTAATCCAAATGACTTTGTTTCTTAGAACTTCTAAATGCACTGGATTTAGCTATAACAATATAATTTGTTGTCAACATTGCCCTCCCTTCTTCCAAAGGAAGTGACACACCTCCCTAGATTCTTCTATTAGGTGCTGCTGATTAACAGCATTTGATTACATGACCTTATCTTCTTTCAAGCTCAAAAACCCTGGATAGCCATCTCTCCACAAACAATCCCTACTCACATGCCTTTGCTGTTACACTGCATTGTCTGAGACTTTTCAAAACAAGTTTTATGGAGTCAAATCTCACGGTGCTGTTA